GGTCGCCTACGAAGAAGGAATGATGTAGGGTTGGAAAGATGGCGGAAGCGCCTCCCACGAGAATCTGGCCCATGGCAGGTGTGAGATGTGTGACTGTCGCGCCATACTTGCGCATCCACTCGGCGAGCTTCTCATGCTGTATATCCTCTTTGCTGGGTACTAGTAGTTGTGCACCGAGGAAAAGTGGTGTAAAGATGTCTCGCTGGATAGGGTCGTGGGCGATGCCAGAGAGCATGGTGAACTTGTCGTTCTCAGACAGTCCAAAAGTCTCGGCCATCCATGGGAAGTAGTGTGTGAGCGAAAAGTGCCGGCCCTTGACGCCCTTGGGCTTTCCCTCTGACCCTGATGTGAAGGAAAGTGTGGGCGTTGAGTCCGGGCCGACCAGCACTCCTGGCAGCTCGGCCTTGAGCTTCTGTTGTTCCTCCAACACGTCCTTTCCGTCCTTGGAGCCTCCCACAAGGGTTCCATCGTCCTTGAGCTCGAGCGCGGGGACTTCCGTCCGCAGTTGTAGGTTGTCCTTGACGTAGTCCCTCACTTGCTCGGAGATGGGACCGGCTTCGCGGGTGGCCTTGTCGATGACTACGAGTGCGCGTGGCTGGGAGACTTCGAGGTAGATGCATTGGCGGTCTGGGGGGTATCTAGTCATGTCAGTAGGTCACTAGTTATTTGACAAGCTAGACTCACAGCGGGTCTAGGACCGAGAAGGTCGCTCCTGCCGCCAGAACAGCCATGATGGCAACCACTAGGTCCACGCCACGATGGGCAAAGATCATAACTACCTCCCCTCTCTGCACGCCATTTTGCACCAGATGATGGGCTAGTACTGAGGTGGCCTCGAATATGTGCTTGTATGTGAACTTGCGCTCGGGTGTCTTGCTGGTAGCCGTCTCTACCACGCATGGCCGCTCGGGATGCTTGCGAGCATTGCCTGCGAAGATCTCGTGGATAGGTCCCTTGAAATCAGACCAGTGAAGGTCTGCGGTCGGATCCGGGATGCTTCCTTTGGTAAGTGAAGCCATCGTCGCGCGTACCTGTTCCTGCATGTTCAAGGAAATATGTGGCGGGGTCGCGTTGTAAGTGTGCGCATGCGCGTAGATAATTCACGGATGTTCCAATTGGGATGTGAGCGAACAGAAGAAGGTACGAAATTTAGGCTTGGAGTGATGATTCTTCTCACAGCCTCTGAAATTGAAGAATCGAAGAGGAATGCAGAGTCATAGACACCAAAAGTAACAGAAGAGGTATGACGCATCCCGTCAAAATGCTCGACTCAGGCGACATCGGCCAGGGCGACCCCCACCACCGAAGGCTCGAAACGCGTGGGATGTCTGGGTCTGGGGCGCATCATCAGCCCTGCGCTAGCCTTGCACCTCGCCCTCGCCAAACTGGAAACGTTCCCTTAGCACGACGCGTCACCCGGCGTGTCAACTGGTGCACTATCTGCAACTTCTGCGTCCTTTTGTGCCTTTTTGTCGCTCGTTACGTTTGCTTCAGAGCTTGTTCGCATCGCCTAGCGGAGCTGAGTTCGCGCCGCATTGCCTTCAATCAGCAACATCAGGCCCACCACGGATACCGGCTCCAGTAGTCCGAAAGCGCCCATGTCGCCAGTGTTGCCATAGTCTGCCTTGTATTCACCTCACTTCTACATCCGATTGTGCCATGCCGACTCAGCATACCTTCATGGGCCGGCCCATTGCGCTGCAGATGCCCCCGAGGAGGTTCCAGGTCCTCATCATCGTTCTGCTCTTCGTCATAGTGAACTTTACCTTTTACGGAACTCCAACACGCGACAGTATCCCGACCTATGATGAAGTCGCCGATGCCGTAAAGCATCCGCAAGCTCACCTGCCTGACCTGGGCGAGTTGCCAGCTGTGCCCAAACCCTTCGGCCCCTCAGCACACAAGCCACCGGTCCAGGCAAACAGTACCACGGCCAGTGCTTACGGCGCTATAGAGTGGCTCAGTGATTTCAAATGGCGCAACCCTTTCTCCTCCCGCGTAACTCTCGACGAGAACACCGCCCTCCTACCACCGCTACGCGAACGACCGCCGATTTACACCTACTACGACGTACCGAAGAAGCAGGACAAGGACGTGTCTGCGGCAGAACAACGGCTGATACTGGCATGGCGACGGGCGTGGTGGGCACAGGGCTTTAAACCTGTCGTATTGTCGCGGGCTGAGGCTATGCACCACCCACAATACCAGCTGTTCCAGCGCATGAAGCTAGATCCCAAGATCGAGTTTGAGGTCATGCGCTGGCTGGCCTGGGGGCACATGGGTGGCGGCGTTCTTGTCAATTGGCTCGCACTGCCCATGGCCGAGTACGAGAACCCGATGCTCGGCTTTCTGCGACGAAACGAATACGCCAAGCTGTCGAGGGTCCAGACCTTGGATAACGCCATTTTCTTTGGAGATCGCATGATGGTCAACGACGCGATCAAGAAGGTCATGGGCAACGAGTTGCTCAAGAATGTTACCGCGAGCAAGGATAAGCTGTTGAAGCTCGCCAAAAAAGAGGGTGGACCGATTGTCAACCTCCTGGACACGAAGGACATGAACTCAGACAGCAAGGCCGACGGAATCGCATCCTACAATATGGCTACGATCTCCAGCAAATACAAGACGGTTGCTGATAAGTTTACCAACACGACACAAGCCGAGGCCCTCGACTTGCTCGCGAACCTCGTAAACTCGCATCTCCACCTGACCTGGCAAGAGCAGCATCCGGAAGGTGTGGTAATCGTCAAGCCTGCACCGGAGCACACGACTGCCCTTTTACGCGAAACAACGGACATTGCGCGTAACCTGACGCAATGTCCGACTACTCCAATGCCCAAGTCGTGCCCACCGAATCGACCAAAGTGTAAACCGTGCGATGCCAACAAAGGAATGAAGCTTCAGCTGTTCCCAGAATTCGTAAACACGACCAAGTTCTTCACGATCGGAACCGTTCCCCATCCATACACGCTTACCTCGTTACACTACACGCGCGACATGATAGACAAGAACTTCCTCCGCAACAGCGCAGCACGCGACCTGTGGATTAAGAAGCTGACGGACAAATCTATTCCAGACGATCACACTGAGGAATACCGCGTACTCAAGTTCAAGGAGCTCGTAGCAGCAGCTCCGGCTCATACCCTGTGGCTCACAGCCGAGCGCATCACCCAAGACGACCTAGACTGGATCTTCGGTTTCGGTCTACCCCAGAACGCGTCTGCGAATGCCGAGCCCAGTTCACCCAGCAAGGAGTCCGAACTCATCGTCTTCCCCCGTCCCGAACCCCCCAAGCCCATCGAGGGTATAGATATCCCGGACGAAAAGTGGATCGAGAAAGAAGAAGAGCGGTTGAAGAAGGCACGCGAGGCTATCAAGAGCAAGGACAGGAACATGAAGCTAGTTGTCGAAGCCGTGGAGCAATGGAACTTGGCGGATACCGAGGCCTGGAGGTTCTCGCGCGCCTACTCAGCGAGACGGCGGCAGGAGCGCAAGAAGTGGGAAGAGGAAGAGGCCAAGTTCTCGGGTAGTGAAAAGAAGGCTGGAGTTAGACCTGGAGAGGGCGGTGGAAGGTGGACCGATCGGAGTTGATTCAGTTAGCGATTTTTGTTGTTCTATAGGAGTATCTATTGGCGTTCTTGGGTTTGTTCAATACTAGCGTGTACAGCTTAGAGCTAGTGTCTGGTTAGAACGTGAGGCTGGCTGGACCATATCCATACAGCGGCGAACATAGGAAGAGGCTGTAGGATGTTGCAAAAAGAAGGTCAGAAACATACAGCAGGGGGGTACGTTCGTAATGGATAAAGCCAAACGGTGCTAAGGCGGTCTTGCGAGCGGATGACAACACGAACTGTCGTGACATCAGCGGCATCCCCCGAGAAATTCCTGTGTTGGGGCTTTCTCAGCCTTGTGTAACAGCCAACCCGTCCTGCAGTGCCTAGCCTCTACCAAGGTAGACAGTGGCGTGCAGGCGAAGCATCTGGAAGTGAGAGGCGGAGGTCCCCGCGGACATCAGCTGCATAGTGATGGATTGGGATAATGAGCAGCAGAAAACCGGTGTATGATCAATACACGGTGTAAGGCTTAAAGGGTGGCACACTGCTTACCATCCTGGTAACTTCGCTTCAGTTCAGCGCAGGCTATTCGCTCAGTTCCTAAGAACATTACAGCACTTCCAGCCAATGGCTTATACCGAGCAAGAAATCTCTTTGATGCAGTATATGCATGCGGCGCAGTCAGAGTTCTCGCGGTAGAGCACTTGCGAAAACCCTTTACGTTCCACTCAGTCATTGCTATTGTTTCGGTATACCACCGAGGTAAGTGAGAGTATTTCATCACATCCAAGGTGCCTTGTCAGATCTCTGCCTCGTGAGCTCGCCTCAGGATCTTTGCGCTTAATCTCAGGAGACATTGTTGATCATTTGGCAACCCGCATCGCATTCAGCCTCGGAGGCGTGTTACACACACCGGCCGCTCAGCCTCCGCCACAGCTCCTCGAGTATATATTGCAGTTCACACAACTCCTTCATCACTCGATATCTTCACTCCCATGTACTTTAATCTACCCTACCAGCATCAAAAATTGATGGCTGCATCTCCCTCTCAGCAGCCTTGGACCTTCGACGTCAGTTCTCTCATCGTGCTGATAAGCGAAGATGAAGAGCGCAACTATCGCCTGAGTCGGCGCTCTCTCCTGCAGTGTTTAACCGCCGCGCCAGTCGTGGGACTCCAGAATTACGTCCGCTCCTACGACCTATTACTTGAACCTAGCACAGAAACCTATTTCTCGCCGTACGGCGTGAAAAGCGCACCTCTGCGCAACATTCGATTGGCAAATGCGCTGAAACATAACAAACTATTGGAAGATAAAAGATACACCGTTCTCAACATACCTGCGACGCGCAGAGAGCAAGACTGCGCAAGCCGCTCTTCGGAGATCCTCATCGCGTGCTGGACGGGTACGACATGGCTGCTCATCGCAGGCTTGCTGGTCGCTATCCATGAAGTTCCTGGGACCACATGGGTGTCGTACGCTACATGCGCCGCGTTCACAGGGTGGTCGATCATCCTGCGCCTCATCGAGTACTTCAACGTGGTGCCCGCACCCGCCGAACGCCGGAATGTGCACGAATCCGACGCGCCTGACGCCGTATTCATCATGGGTCGCAACAACTCCGCCTTTGTCCTCAAAGGAAGTCGTAAAGACGTAAAAGACTGGACGAGTTGCGGGTTGATGTACCGCGACGCTCCATGCGGCGTACCATCGTCTGTGTGGCAGGGCTTCACTCGCATGGCTAGTCTCATGGTGCTGTTGTTCATTTTCTCGGCGGTGCCTAATGGAAGTACACTAGATCAGGTTGCTTTCATTATCCTAAATGCGGTTGCGCAACTCAATGTGCTCGTTGGACAGCGGCTGAATAGTCGGTGGGTAATGGCAAGACTAAAGAAGGAAGAAGACTCGAGAGTGGAGACTAGAACACACGTTTATGCGAACCTGATCAGAGAATTCAAGGATGCCGAGAGCGAGAAGCAGTGGGTTGATGCGTCGGGGATTTTGCCCAGGACCGAGGTGTGGAAGGAATGGAAAGAACGGGTTGTGCACGATGAGGGAGATGATCCAAAGAAGTTGTATCGCGTGGTTTCAGATGATTTTGAGAGCAAGAGCAAGAGCAGAAGTGGAAGTTCAGGTGATATGGACAGGTTCGTTGAGGTGAAGGAGAAAGGTCAATAGCGCAGCTATGTAAGGGTATGTAGTGGGAAATGTTTCCCTGTTGTCCTCAGCGTAATTCATAAACCCACTCTTGCTCCGTCCCGTAGAAACGGTCTCGCACCGCCTCCCCATCCATGCATCCGTGGACATAGCTCTCCCCTTTGAAGACGTAAAAGTTGTCTTCGTCAGGTTTGAACCTCTGCTTTGTGGTTTCTCGCTGCGCCGAGGCTTTTCTTCGGTCTTTGTCTTTTCCGAGAATGTAGTTTACTTTCTTGTGGGCAGATTTCACGTCTTGCTCCCAATTGGAGTCTGAAGTTGAGTGTCCTTGTTTCTTGTACTTCTCTTTTTGTTTCTCATACCTTGCTCTGCACACAGAGATTTTGTCCAGTCTCTTAATGCACGACTTGACTGCCTCATACGAATCCTCAAAACTCTCTTTGGCTTTGTCACCCTCGTTCTTTTTTTGGGCGCGCAGAATGACCGGAACAGTACATCCATGTAGAATGCACACCAGATCTCCTTTTTGGACATCTTTGCCAAGTCCTAGCTGCTTGCCTTGTTTAGTTCTGAAGAGAGACCGGCCCCAGATGACGGCATGGACCCGCCGGCAAAACTCCGCAATGATTGAATTCCGTTCGTTGTTGATCAAATCTGTGGTGTTCACGCTACCACTTTCCCGCCCACCTTTGCCCACGGATTCTCTGCATGCTCTTGCATAATAGTATGGTGGATTGCGGTTGTCAGAGCCTCTGTCAGCAACTATGGTCCTCCAAAATGCCGACGGTGGGTCTTGGGTATATGGCGGTTCCCATCCACTCAACTCTAGCCATGAGTTCGGAATGCTCCCTCCCTGGGACGCATCTCTGACCTCATCAACCTCATCTACTTTGAAGCCTGTAACATAGAGACTGTAATGCCCCATGTAAGATCTCTTTCTGAATTTGAGATAGTCAAACTTCACAGCCTCGGTTTGTGCGGCGCTGTAGTTTCTATGCCCATCTTGTGGCCACCCAACCAAAGGGTCTGCATTTGCCCGTCCTGTCTTCGCGATGTCGATACCTGGGTGGCGATAGATCTCGAACGGTGCATTCTTAGCACGAGGTACCCACGACGGTAGATCAATGTCTTTACTTTGCTCCATGTCGTCATCACATTCCTTCTCTTTTGTCTCTCTCGAGTCTCTGACCGTTGTCATCTCCTCCATTAGAGCTTTCTTCTCTTCTTCTTTTCGCCTCAGTGAATGTTCCCAAAGCTTATCCCTCAGTTCACGCCACCAGATTTCTCGACTCTTGTCACTGGAAATGTCCTTTTCCCAGTAATCTTGCAGATCCTGCTCTTCTTGTCGCGCCTCACATCGTACACATGTACGCTTTGCTCCTTTTCCATTCCGGTCAGTGGGGGGGCTTTTCCTCTTCTTCACCCTAGCCGAACCACCACGCTGAGGCTCTAATGCCCATGGCCGACATAGTATGTCCAAAGCCTGTACTGGGTCAAGTGCTCTCTTCCGCTCAATACAAAACTCCATGAAGTCTCGACAGACATCTGAATATGGTCTAGTATAGTCAATCCGAAATGGTTTCTCTGCAAGGAACCCTCGAAAGAGCGACAGTAAGAATGGCAAATCCACATCATTGGTTGGGTCGATAGGCTTAGTATCTGACACTGTGTCTGTGATGACTGATACTACGTCTGTGGTTTCTGGCATTGTGTCTGAAGCGAATGGCGCTGCGTCCCTAGCGATGGCTATCATGGAATATACCGAATCCCTGCATTCGCTCGCTTTGAAAATGAACATTGTGGTCACTAGGTACTCCAGGCTGAGAAGGCTTCTGCGATCCAATGGGTCGATCGTTTGTATTTTATCGAGCAAGTCAGCCCGATCTTTGTGCTTCTCATCGGCGGCCTTCTTCTTGTCTCTCTCCTCGTCGGCAGTTCTCTGTTCGTCGGTCATGTTCTCGTCGGTATTCTTGTCATGAACTTCGTTTTTGTCCATAGGTGTTCCATAACTGCGGAACACCTTGCCTGTCGCTTGTACCAGAAGGCTGGCTCCAAGGTGTGAAACGCCTTCAAACCAGCCGGGTACATGCCGAAATTGGACATCCATCTGCATTACCTCTGATAGCCGATGTGTAGCGTTTTCAACCTCCACAAAAAGCTCCACGGCAACAGCAAATTCTTTCCATGGCATTGAGTCAGGCCCACACCATATCTCAGCTTTCTTAGCTAAAGACAGCTCTTGAACGACCCAGCGACGGGAAAACCATTCTCGCTGCATGAGTACCATCAATGCACGCCACTTACTGCTGTAATCCTTATCAGAGCTGATGGAATCAAAGTCTTTTAGATGCGTAATCTCTTCCTTGATGAACTTGAATGCGACCTCACTCTCGTCATCCTGCTGCCCAAGCCAAATGCAGACATTGGCTGCTCGAGTGTAGACCCTGGACATCATTTGCACTTGTTGGTTGCGCTCCACATCATTTTCTTGGTCGATGCAGATTGCATCAATCCAGAGAATCCTTGGCTTCCCTTGATGACGAAGGTATTTCAATGCAAGAGCCAGGTCCTTCCTCACTGGCATTTTGTAGTCCTCGTCTTCTTTCGTGACAGATACTGCGTATTCAGAGATAGCCGAACCCCAGCACCATGATAATGCTTCGTACTCAATTTCAATCTTTCCCACTGTCTCCAACTCCTCTTCCAGAATCGTTTGTTTCAGCTTTTCGAATCGGCTTTTGAGGGAATCTCTTTCTTCGTCCAACGCTCTCGTATACCACGCATCATTCGCCGTTTGCCATACACCGTTCGCTGTCTGCCGCATGTGCTCCACGATCCGCCATGTGCCATCTAGCGCCTGCCCCTTCACTTCCATTTTCTTTGTTAACACCTTTAAGAACTCTTTTACTTCTTCCAGTTCCCGCTCAGCACTTGTCTGGCTACGCTCAATCTCACGAACTTTTGGGAGTCCACCCTTGCGAGCCACATGTGTGGGGATATGGAAAGAATTGTCGTAAGCCGCCTCGAAAAGCTCACATTTGATGGAGTCGTCGCGGCTACCCCCATATAGACGCATCAGACGGATCATCTTTGGCGGCAAAGGATCGTAGACGAATTGCTTCATTCTTCTCAAAGATGGATCCTTGAAGCGAAGCAGTTCCGAGTTCCGATCTCTGAGCTTGCCTGTTCTCGCGCCTCTATCTATCTTCTGAAGAATGTAGGTTTCATCCCCAAGCATAAGGAAGTTCGATTTGCTGCGAGGTATGGCCGACGTGGACATGATGAAACGTTTGATACGTTATGTTGAAAGATGCTCGCAGTGACGGATATGACGATTGAAGAATACTATCAGGGCTCAAGCTTGAAACAGGTCTTTGTGGACTTAGGTCTGATCGTGATGAAGAAGTGGTGGCTCGCTACGCAAAGATTCACGGGTTTTCGCCGTTTATGTCAACGCGCACCTCTCAGCCTGAACAAGGTTGTACTTCCGGACATACGCCACAATAACTGTGAGAGCACCCAGACCGCGACAATTGCTGATCGCTTTCCTCTCACAGACAATACATGTTGTGCGACGCGCCTTCTTCCATTTCCGGCGTACATCAACCCCACGAACATGTCACTCATCCAGCTACTCACATCATCACCGCATCTGATTGGATCTCCTGAGATCGGCGAGGTGATGTCCTCATCTGCGTAGTTCGGGGTGGGAGTTTTTATTGCAAGCAGACCAATCTGATCTAGATGCGAACGCCATGGGCGCCAAAATATCATTCAGCCAGCCATCAATGAGGCTGAACGGACTGCACCTCAGCTCTCAGCTCTGGCCGGTGTGCCATGGTCTTGCGCATTTGAGCTTGTCATGATGTTCCCCACCTTGGCTGAGCATGATATCGCAAACCGAGGCATTGCCCTGTCGACTGATGATGTTTGATCACTCTGAGAATATCGCAGAGGCTGTTGGAGTCTTTTGAGACCGGATGCGTATTCGATGGCGCATGTTTGATACACCATGCTAGTAGACCACATAGACTTCGGATTGATCCTCCATACGCGACCTTGCTCGACTTTCGTATAGATGAGCAGACTACTTCCACCTCAAGCGGCATCTTTTCTCCACACGGGTGGGGTCGCTCGCGGGAGATGCGCTGGTTGGACCAATCACGGGGTTGCCTCTGGCGGGCCGGCAACTGTCGTCCTCGGAGCGTGCGTCGACAATCTTCAGCCTGATGGCATCTCGACCATCATTTCCTTTCCTGTACAGCGTAGGATAACGCCAATCGAGACCACGAAACGTTGTTAGCGATACGTATTACTTCATCGCCCGCTCAACGGATAGCCTCGTCTCTCGCAGCACGCGACTTTGGCGATCAAAGTCTTGCTTCCTACAGTCGTTCTTCATTAGAGCAAGAAGTACTGCAGACAGAAGATCCGGTACTCTTGTGAGAAGGCTGCCAGGGTAGACTGAGTTTAGCCGGAACCGAGATTATCGATGACACGCATGGGAGCAACTGCCGTCTAACAAATCGATGAGAACATCTCCCGAGGAACTGGAGGGGCCCGCTACGCAAGTCGTCCCCAATCCAAGACGTAAAATATGGTAGCCCGGTTTATAGTTCTCCCCCCGATTGACTGTGCAGCTTGATCCTCTCCCCTGGTTGAACCGCAATAGAACCCTCTTCAAACACCATTGATTTGTCCGTATTGTTATAAAAGTCGGGTAGATTCGCTAATTCGACTGTGAGATCTGCCAGTACCTGGAGGCGTTTCCGAGATGAAAGCTCTCGTGCGGCTGAGAATATAAGCATGAAGATGTCGCAATAGGCGTTGGCGATGTCGTAGCAGGTATCACGGTCTAGTACTGAAAGCACCCAGTCACCGAGTCGCTTTGCTGCTGTTCCTACAGGATCGGTTTCGTGTAATACGCCCTGGTAGACCTGTAACAATGCCAGCTGGGAGGGTGCAGGCTCAGGATATTCCACGAACTCCGCAGAGGGGTCTGCCTGCCGTTGGCGTCTTTCGTGGAAGAGCGCAAGTTACCGGGGTTCTTTATTCTGCCACGCTTCAGTCATCGTTGTCGCAAAGCGTTACTCACATGGTGGCGCAAGTTGAGTAAGAGCTGATTGCGAAGGCTTCGAGATTATCGTGAGTGGCAGTTGCGGACTGACTGTCCACGTGCCGTACCAACGCTACCTGGGCACCAAGGCAGCAACGTCATTCGTGATCGTAGGCTGGCCCAACCAGTCCAAAAGGCGAGAGAACAAGCGACTTCTGCTGACATTCGGAGCTCTTCACCCGGCATTTGAGCTTGGCGAGCGCCTTTAGGCCACAACAGCTTGGAGGAAAATGCGGAGGGCATACGTCACATGACTGCCAAGCACGGCCGATTCCGGGGTATAATTGTGAAGTTGGCGTGGTGCACGTGTATCTCGCTTGTTATCGAAATGGAGTGCGATGTTCATCTTTCACATTAACGCTTGATCTTTCGGATGAAGCAGTGAGGTTGGAGCCTCTGCGCTCACTGCCTTTGATGGCGAAGTCGTCAATGCTAAGGCGTCGCTGTTAAGGCGTTGACGGTGAGGCGTCAATGTTGCGTGTTCGCCCGTGCCGTTGCCTCGGCCGAGGGTCGTCAGGCCTCTCGTACAGTATTACCCCGCCGTCCCTACCACTCCAGGTGATCCAGGTTACAGCCTAGGAACAACACCAACATCGACTTCCTGCCTTCAAGCATGGAAGAACTAAGCTTGGTTCCTGACGCTGATAACGTTCGTCGTATTAGTCTAGTACTATCAGATGACTCGACTCGTACGACACCTGGGACTAAGCTACAGCAATACCGGGCAAGCAGGAGTCAAGATGTCCAGCCTCAAAGCGCCACTGTCGGCGCTGCTACAACGACGCTCTGTCATAAGTGCCGCAACATGCACTTCAAACCTTATGAAGACTGCTCACTCGAGTTGCAGAGAGCGGTCATCCAATCACCATACGCGTCACTATACTATCTGCATTCTCCGGGCCTTGACTCTCTTATGCAGACTGCGGACTCAGGCTGCCCTTTCTGCAAGACCATTGCGCATCGTTTTTTAATGGATACAGAACTCTGGAATGACACGCGCGTTGCCGGGGTACAGATCGTTTTCAATCTTCCTCTCAACTACGACGATCAAGGGGTGGGAACTCCATGCTTCGACAATCTCACAGTGTACAGTTGCGAACGCAACTGGTTATTCCAATGCGAGAGTGATCTACCAGGTAAGAGCCTCTATCCACCCGTTATGAAGTCTCATTGGCTTACTGCTATCTGTAGTCGCATTTCAAAAGCCATTGGCGGCGTTAGCTTCACCAAATTCTGCGGCCGGCGATAGTAATGCTGAAGACCCGATGTATTCGTACTGGACAGACTCTTCGACACTATCAGAAGCAAACATGGAACTTGCGTCAACGTGGTCTCACTTATGCCTGAGCGAACACCCCGGCTGTAGTATCAACACAGAATACACCCTACCTACCCGCGTCATTCGCATCAAAGGGCCCCGAGATCTTGTCTTAGAAGACGGCCAGGAAAGATGTTTACCTTATCTTACACTAAGCTACAAATGGGGCGATACGAAGAGATACTGCACTTCGACTGAGAACATCGCCAATCATAAGCAGAAGATACCGCTTGAAGCCCTACGAAAGACCTTCCAGCACGCCCTGTTGGTTACAAAGCGTTTGGGGTTCGAGTATCTGTGGATTGATGCACTTTGCATCATACACGACTCCCTCGAGGACTTGCAAAATGAGATCAGCCAAATGGGCAGAATTTACCAAGCGTCAACAATAACACTGTTTGCGGAAGCAGGAGATGATTCTGAAGCTGGATTGTCCATTCCACGAGATCCTCGCACGTCCAAACCCTGCAAATTGGATTTCAGGGCAACCTTCGATAGCCGTGTATTGGAAGTGTCGAGATATGCTTGTTATAACCCGTTCAACCTCTTACATACTGAATCAAAGCAGTCGCCTCTTCAGAAAAGAGGATGGGTTCTACAGGAAGAGCTCCTGTCACCACGACTTTTGAAATTCGGGTCTCGCCAACTAAAGTGGGAATGCCGACATTCTACTCTTTGTGAGAGTCTACCTCATGATCATAAGCGCAACGCTACTATGCGCCCCAAAAATCATGAACTGCGTTCTTGGATGTACGACTGTAGAGCTGCACAGGATTTGGACAGTCAAAGACGAAAGGATATGTTCACATGCTGGTGCGAACTTGTTGAGAACTACTGCAAGCGCTCGCTCACGTACGCAAACGATGCTCTACCAGCGATCGCGGGCATTGCGAATGTCTTTGCGAAGAACAACCAGCTCTCGTATATCAACGGGCTCTGGAAAGAGGACCTGCCTTTGGGATTGCTGTGGGCCGTTCATAAAGGTGATAGGGCGGATACATCACATTCGTCTCATCGGCAAGATACCGATATGCCAGACGCCCCCTCTTGGACCTGGTTATCGCAGTGGGGTAAAACCATTGAGTTTGAGCAAAAGCAGTTGCGACATTGGGCTGAATCGTACGAGATAACTATCGATCAACTGGGCCACTCTGATGATGATCTCGATGGGACAGCTTATGGCCGAGACGAAACGCCTTCAGGTCAAACCATGAGTTTCCAACAAGTAGACATGAGACCGCTTCGACTTCGAGGTCATCTCATCAGAGGAGACGTAGAGTTGGGTAGTTGGTCACCTTTCTTCCCACAAGCGTGGGGACGGCGTGTGACCACGCGTCATACCCGGGAGGACATGGGACTTTTCTTCCCCGACTCAGATCCGTTCAAAGAGCCCATACTGGAGGTCACATGTTGCCTTTGTGTCGTGTGTGAGGATAGACATAGCGCTGCGTATATGTGGTTAGCCTTGGTGTCCACATCTCAGCCCGACGTCTATAAACGAGTCGGTATGGGCCGGCTCACCATTGACGACAAGACTCAGCCTTTGCCATCATATTGGGAAGCTGAGGGCAAAGCGACGTTCACTTTGGTGTAAGAGGTGGTGAGCAATATATGATTACTTTTTCGAACGCGCGGGGCGCAGGTGGCGTGGCCTCGCCCTGCGCCCATCCCCGGCCCCCAACTCGCAGACCAATCCATCTCTTGACTGTGATGCACGGTGAAACAAGTAGAGGTTAGTTCTTTCGCAAACTTGAATATACTCTGCAAGGGCTCAATCCTACGTCAGCGCTCTCAGAGCCGACAGGACCTGAACCCCAAGCCTTCCAGGCATCCATAGGCTCCCGCAGTCCTGCGATCCTACATAACCTGCGCACGCCTCATGCTTATCCTTCGCCAACGATCGCTCGCGCAACACAGGACAAGCAAGTATGGCAACACAAGAAGAGAGCCAGGTTAAAGAATGTAAAGAATTCTTGCAGAAGTTTGAAAGATGGGCAGATCCGACCTGGGGCTTCTTCGTTTACGGCACCTATACGCGCCCACAAGGCCAGGAAGTCTCAATCGAAGATACAGACAAGAAAAGCAGAGCAGGTCAGTGGATAAGAACGAAGCTTATCGAGTGCAAGTATTAATAAACAACAGATACGACCGATGATGATGCGCACTTCCAAGCAGTGATCCGCAAAGTCTACGCCCACGCAACAGATAACCTCCGTTACAGCAACCCAGCGCCATACAATCAACAAATGATAGACATCTTACGTCTCGATGCTGCTGCTTATATGCCTGGCGCGTCGCTTGACGTTGTCTGCAGGCATTTCCGCCAGCATTATGCTCAAAAGGTCTTCCCGGAGACAATGGGTGAACCTGGGCCTCCTGCAATACAGGACGACATTCCCGATGAGGAGAAATTGGGTCCAAAGTGGGCCTGGTGTATAGTCATCGATGATGAAGCTCTTGAGAGTCTGGAGAACGGCCCCGAACCCGTAGGAGATGCGCCGCCGGAAGGCGTAAATCCTCTCAAACTAGCATACAATGCTAAAGAAGCATTTGTAAAGTTACTATCTGGGATGAAGACGACGATGGAGGGGCCTGAGGTGATCGCTGCGGCAGGTCGTCCAGGTAGTGGATGTCCTACAACAGTGTGGAACGGATGGCTCAAGTTTTCGCCTGTGGATCTTATGGGTGTCTGGATTCAGGCGGAGAGCAACGGTATCATTGATCAGTTTTACGGAGAGGATAAACTTTTTGACTGGTAGTCATCGAAGGTGACGTGCCGCATATGCGATGACAGCTTGGGTACGTATACTTGGCACTCCAATCGATCAAATCAGATCCTCTAGGCAACCATCCTTCCTTCAAGGTTAGCCGATATATCCGAGCTTGCCTATATCGTCTTGAAAGAGTTATGTGATAACTAACACAACACTCACAATGGCGCACCAGATATCACTAACTTCGGTAGGAGATGATCCAGTAAGCGCCTATCAGTGGCGATGCTAACTTTTTGAAGGGCCACAAACTGCATCCAGATGCAACAACACTGACATGCCCTTACACTTTCCTAGTGACCGTTACACCAAGATCATCGACCATCATGAGCTACGGTGCACCTTTAAGCCCCTACATACAGTTGCATACACAACTCACGCCTGCTCAAATCCGACTCATCCAGTCCCACGAAGATTTCGGCGAAGTACGCGTCCCAGTCAGCGAACTTAATCTCTCAAACTTCCTGCGCAGCCAGATCGATCTTGAGGCTTCATCGCAAGACACAGCGATGGTAACGAAGCTTGTTGCCCGGTTGAGAGACGCAAAAGCTGGCGATGAGGATGACGGTGGCAATGACGGTGGCCACAGCGTTCTGGCCCATATTCTGAGCTTCACAGTTCTCGGTCACGAAAGCGGGAAGCTGGTTCCAGAAGGCCGCATGTTACTGTGGAAGTGGGCTAAGCCTCAAAGCCAGTATCGGAAGACAGGCTTCTGGGGCCATAGCTTGACACAGGTCCTGGTCGATGCCGAATGGAATACTGGTAAAGATGTCACGGTATACGTGAAGGCTGTTGAGGAGGAGGAATATGAGAGAGTGTTGAAAGGTGAGATGAAGAGTTAAGCGGAGTTCGCTTGAGATGAGACCGGGTAGCGTAAGGTGTCTTGATGTGAGACACTTGGATGTTAAGACAGGAGGAAGGAGCGACCGTGCTTTCTCAGACAGCTCATTCTTGGGAAGGCGCTATGCTTGATTAGTGTTAGGCTCACCACATGTCGAAAGAACGTTCCTTCCGTCACTCATCTTCCATTCAGAAGTGAACGTCATTATTATGCATGCAACACTAATACAAGCGTTGTCTATGAGCCTTTAATCAACAAGGACCCCATCTGTACATCCGCGACCAACTAAGCGTGTTCAAAAACGTGAGCAAAAGCATATCCCTCATCGTCTCTCCAAACCAGACGCAACTACCCACCTTACGAACCACTACTACGCTTCCGCAGCAGCGGCATCGACGGCATCTTCGTCAACCGCCTAACCTTCGCCAACGCCTTCGGACTTGGGCTCAGGCTCGCCGTCGGTGTTTTATCCTTCTTCGCGTTCTTGGACTCTGCAAGAACCTCACCCGTACCAGACTTGTGTGGTACGAGAAAAGAGTTGAACGTCGTCTCTGGGTTAGCGCGGAATAGCACTTCTTGGTTCAGAGGGCTACGTACATGGTTCGAAGAGCTAGACGATGACGGGCCTGATGAGCTTGCTAGAGGCGAGATACGACGGGTGTTGTATGCGCTTGTGCGAGGGCTGGATGGCTGGTAAAAGTAGTCTCCGCTGCTAGCCGCCCGAACGTGTGAGTACCGACGGCTGCGCGGCTCTTCGTACTCCTCAGGCTGTGTAGTTGGTGTTGACCGAGGCGGCGGAGGTGGCAGCATAGAAGAGCGAAGGTCGTATGTCGACTGAGAAGACTGCCAAAACTGTGTGCGACTATGTTCCTCGTCCTTCTTATTGTCAGTTGTCTTCCTAATCCGAGGTATGTGCACCTTATTACGCACCTTCTCCTTCGTCTTGGCTTCAGCGCGCTGGCTTTGCTGCATCTCGTGCTCAATCTCCGCGAGCGCGATGATCTTCTCTTCCAAGGGCATGGCCTGGGGTATCAAGCCCCTGCGATCCCCATGGTGAGTGAAAAGGCGCTCGTCCGACCACTCTTGGAGGTTGTGGTTCTTCTCGCCTCGTGCGAGCGCTTTCAGGTCCTCTACAGACAGCGCCTGAGCGTAGTAGCGTGGTTTCGGCGCGGGTTGCTCCCATGAGTAGAGCGACATAGAGTCGCTTGAGTAACGATGCGCGCTCGAATCTGTAAGGCAGTATCGAGGTTGCGGGCTGGTGTTTGTAGAGGAATTTGGCGCGTTGCTAGTCACGAAAGGCGTCAAGAAGTCGGTGTGGAGTGGATCAAAGTGCTCTTGCAAGGAAGAAGTGAAAACGGGTACTGCCACTGGTTGTTCAAACGGCTCACTCAAATTTGCAGCGACATTGTACGAGGTAGAGTCCTCTGTGCACCCCAGGACTGTGTGTGTCAAAGGCTCCCGCAGAATCGCATCAAAAGAGAAATCCGAAGCCACATCAGAAGAGAAATCCAAAGCCGCATCAGAGTCGTCCACTACGCGCGGACAGTTTTCATCGACAATTTCATCATCACATGCCTTCATCTTCCCTTTCGCAGACGCTGTAGGCCGTGGGTAGCCGATGAGCGCGGTTGACACTCGTCTCGAGACTTGCAAGGTGGAAAGAAGATATTTGTATTTAGCAAAGCTTTTCCAAAATGGGTACGTGTGATGGATTGAAGATGCGTGTAATGTTGAGCTCGCAATGATGAAGACGCCTTTCTTGGAGCAAAAGATACCTGTTTTTATGCGCGTGGGCAAAAGTCAGTGTGAAAACCCATCGTCTGTACGATGCGCTTCTAGGGTAGAGGAGCCTCCATCATTCACAATGAATGATACCTTGATGGGTGAACAGAGCAAGACGCCCAGGGAGCCTTGTGCGAGGCACCGGCCCGTCACTCACTGCCATCCCCGACACTCCTCTGATCTCATTCTGGGCCTTCTGTCTTCGCTTCTTCTTCATGCATCTTTCTCTTCTCTTCCTCGGGTGTTCACTGCCTCCTCGCGGATGTGTAACTAGCTGCCATGCAGCTCACTTCCGGCATTTGCTTTCTCTTCGTGCGATGCGTCAGCCGTGGGAGGATCGACATGGCTTCCGAATGACATCGTGTGTCAGATGTCTCAATTTTGCGTCACCGTTTGGCGTACAAATGTTTGATATTTTGCGTCCTATTATCCATCGCATTGTTCATATGTAAGCCCAGTAGAAAAAGCTGAAGAGCATGGTAGCGGCGCCCATGTACGTGGATGGAAGAGGTGTGTGCCGAGTTCCGAGAGAGGTGGGGTCGAATACGGGCCTACGGTGATCGTTAGCTCACGTTCATGACTTGGCGTAACTTCTGAATAAGGCAAGAATATCATCGGTACGCAATCTGCCGGCATATGACAGGCCGCTTGGTTAGAGAGGGTGTGGACTTACTGCTTCAGGTGCAGACCCATGTCGTCGATGGCATCGCACTTTTGCCACTCAGTCTCGGGAATAGCTTCCATGGCTACTTCATTCTTGTCGTTGAAGCTTAATCGCTGCCCTTCGCTTGCGCCGAATGAGTGCCAGTCCGGACTCTGTAGCTCTGAACCTTTGGAGACTAGATACTCTGCGGCATGGGTATTTGGGTCATAGCTTCGTATGAATGATGCCCAGTACGCCTGGACAAAGACACCAGCCGCTGAAGTGGCATTGTTCCAGATTGGCAAGAGTTCGCCAACGTGTGATGCGGTTCCAACATTCCATCGGTACTGCCAAGTCGGGTTCGTATTGTTGAGAGCGTACGTATCAGTAATGTTGAGACTGGGACAGTTATAGCGGATGTAACCATAGACATCGGCGGTCAATGACCTCCAGCGAGCGTCGCCAGTGGTTCCAATGTTGCCATCCCAAAGCTGACGAATCGTGTCCCATTTTATACCGGGGTACTGATCAACTAGGAAGTCTTGCGCTCGAGGTTGAGACATGATACTCTTGGCCACGAAGTTGATCCCGTCGTTTGTGGCGGTACCGAAAATAGTAGGCACGTTGACGAAGTGGCCAGCCTTCAATTCGTTGAATGTGAAGTCTTTGATGAAATCGTAGTCCAATGTCGGGTTCCAGAAGTAAAGCGGTGGATTCTTGCCGCCTGGGAAAGGCTTCAGGAGAGTACGCACAGCATCCTGGAAGATGACCGCATCCAAGCTGATCATGCAATTGAGATCCGCGCATCCGGTCTGATGTAGTAGCTCATCATACTGCCATTGGCTGTTCTCCACATCTCGCATGGACGGAAAGGCTGGAGATTCAGCAGCGGCAGCGTGGAATAGGCCATCGTCTCGACCACCGTATGCGGTAAGTTGGAAGACCACTGAACCCCCACCAGCACTTGCGCCTCCAATAGTAACGTGCTCCGGATCGCCTCCGAACTGCTGAATGTGCTTTTGAACCCATTCGAGTGCCTTCCTCTGGTCTTTCAGTCCGTTGTTCAAGCTCAGGCTCTGGTTTGCAACAATCTCTTTGCTAGCCAGAAATCCATAAGGCCCTACTCGATAGTTGAAGTTGACCACAACCATGCCGTCGTCGCCGGCATCGATCAAGTCTGCACCGTTGTAATTCGCATTGCCGTTCATGTTGAAGCCGCCGCCTTGGATGAAGACGTAGACCGGTAACATGCTTTTGTTGGTAGCTCTTTCTGGTGCAAAGACGTTGACGAACAGGCAGTCTTCCGAGTGTTTCCCTCCAAACTCGGCTGTCAGGCTGCTCTTGGTGCCGATACATAGGGGTCCAAACTAAACTGCTGTTAGCGTGGTGTCGACAAACCGTGAATACGCTCTATACCTTTGTAGCGTCAACAACATTACGCTCATCTTCGGGATCTTGAGGTGCAGCAAATCGAAGTCCATCTAAACGGGTTGGACTGCGGGCATACCGCATACCAGCCCATCGTATGACACCATTGCCAATATCCTTTCCACGGTATTGCGCGTAACCAAGGTCAATGGTCTCCTTCAATGCGAGGGCGTGCTGAAAGAAAAGCGCTGCACAAAGCAGCAAACGAAACATTGTCGACAGCTGTGTGAGAAAGCGAGGAAAGAAAGGCAGCCGCAAAGTATCTTGACAGTCTGTATCGTGTTCGGCCGCGCTGCCCCTGGTTGTCGCCGAAGGGTCGTTCCGATACGAGCTATGCTATAGTGCGGCAGGGCTATGGTAGATCGCTGTTCTAGGGGAACGAGATAGAAAAACAAAGGGAACTTGACAATTGCATCATAGTTTCATAGCGGGAACTGGCGTGTGAAGGTACACTATTCCCGAGGCGTTAGCATTCACGGGTGGCGTCTGTTGGCATTGTGTGAGTACATACTGTGGGAACAATCAGTGACATTAGCATCGTGCTGCTAGCAAACGTAAGCTCGAGGGCTGAGTCGGTGGTAGGACAACTCAGGTCCACGTCACAGAAGGGCGGACTCCGCGGGTATAAGTGAGCCCGGGCGACTTTGTTGTTGGTCTTACCTAGGTACCTTCCGCTGCATTGCTCAACACGGACCGCCGCCAGCCACAGCATCAAGCCAGGGTAATTCGAAATCCAGACCATTCGCATGCATGAGGATGCGACAGACACTGTGACTGGGTAGCCCTAGGCCTATGGAAGTGGATAGTGCTGACCAGGGTGATTTACCGACAGGTCGTAGCGCGCGCTGACGGTGTAATTACACCGAGACCATTGCTGCACGACTCCAGGGCTGTGTTTCGTTGGACACCTGAGGCCCGCGGAACTCAATCCGGGTTGAGGACGGCGATAGGGGTAGTTGGGGGGATGCAGCATGATGGCTAGCGCTGGACGGGACGGCAGATGAGGATTGACGACAACAATGAGATCAGATCTACGATAGAAGAGCGGCTGGCGGGCGGCCAGCGTTGATGATCAGAAAGCCATGTGGGACCTGCAGCTAAATCCATGATGCGAAAGCTTGATCACTCCAAGGATGATAAGCGACATCCTTGCCGGCTTCCCCCCAAAGGGCAGGATCGGCCCTGCCAACGCCCGTCCAGCACGGCTGAAACCTGGGCACAGGAATGAAACCACCATGGCCTTGCACAACACACCCGCCCTCAAGAAAATTTGTGGAAACATTCATGTTCTACAATCCAAGGTTTTCGCTCATTGCTTGGCCTCATCATCGCGAGTGGTGGTGCTGCGCAAGCTCATGTAGGCTACTTGGCTTCATCGCGATGCCCGAATGGCGTTCAACAGCCACGTCGAGACGTGCTTGGCTGATCCTGTTGCAACTCTTATGAATGCCTAGGTACGCCCCGGCTGCATTGTCGGCTGTCACCTCAAGTGTGCTGTGTGTTGTTCAAGCACTCGCCCAGCTGGAAACCTGCTTGTCCTAAACACATGGTGCTCCTCAGGGTCCAAGTGCGTCATTAAGGTTCACTCCAACGGTCGTGAATCAATAAATTTCATCCACGGCTCAGCCACAGAGAACCAAGCAGCAACTCTTCAATTTCGGAAACCGAAAGTCTACCGAGCACGGATAAACCCCGCATCCAAGCACCAGAGCGCTGTTACATTCGGTGATCCGGGGGAGTGCACTGCCGCGGAACTCCAAGCTATCCGAACGCCATGCAAGCCACCAAACCAGAGTTCTAGAACTTCCACCACTCTTACACCTCACTATATATATTTGAGAATTGTTCTACAGCACATAAAGGGCGTTTGGCACATGTTCCGCAATTGCAAGATACCGAAGTCGGAGCTTACCTCAGGATGTCGTACGCGGCAACCGCAATCTATGCTGTTCTCTCGATAACGCTTCTTATGTGTACAAAGCGTAGACTATATGCAGTATAGTCAATTTTGGATGCTTTGGAAAAGGTATCGCGGTCGTGATGGCATTGCTACTGTTCAATGCGCGTAGCCTAGGATAACACATAATCGAATCTTCTCGCGCTTCATCATGTCCCTCAAGATACCCAAATGCCTCTTTCGAAATGACGATAGAAGCATTGGAACCCTCCTAGTCATTTATGGCAAATACCTGTTCTTTGATTACCACCCTTTCTGATCTTTCTGGGTAGGCGCAGGTATGGTTTCTCACCTGTATGCGTTTCGAAAGCCATCAGATCTGGAAGGCAACTTATACGCATCGTACAGTTGGTCTTTGAATGTCTTTCATCTCCATATAGCGATATG